CAAAATTGATAACTTCAGTATTATTAAAGATGTATTTTGAAAACAAGTGTAATTTTATTCTAGGCAGATAGGGAAGACTATACTAACAAAATGAATAATAATTAATCAAACAACATTCCATATAATTACATCTCCTTGTAATATTAGGAATTGAAATGTTTTTGTTAACGTGGTTTCAAATTCTTACGCAACCATTTTAAATAATCTGAAATAAGATTATTCTGCAATAATACCAGAGTATCCTTGGCACGTGTAAGGGTTCAGGGTTTATGAATTAGGATATTTCTTTTATTAATCTTATGCCTATAGATGTTTTTCAGAACTCGGAAAATGTAGGTGCCCCCAAATAATTCGTAGGTATTGTCCCAACAATATTGACCCGGCACTTCATTAATTTTCGTACATACCAAAAATCAAAACGTTTTGCTCGAGTTTAGGGAGAAATGGCAATTTTAAAACTAAAAAGGAAAGAAATTAAAGTGGCTGAACCAGGTATCGAACCTACGAGTGTACATCTATATTTTTTCGCAAGTGAAAGACCTAAAGTTGCCGACTGCGCTCAGAGGGATTTTCTAATTTAGACCATGTAACAACAGTTACTGCTTATCTTCATTCATATCGTTTTACAAGTAGATAGTAATATTTACGGAATTTACCGATTATAGGGTCAAATGCAAGAGTGCCAGGTCAATATTGTTGGACAATATAAACATTTTTTACCGTTATAGCTTCACGGTGCACAGCTCGTCACAAAAGATTAGTCAACCTGTTGCGCTTATTTTCGAAGATGTAACAGTAAAGGTTTGTTTGTACCTATAGATTACCTGAGAAAAACCCAAATATATTCTAGTCTTTATTCCGGAGTTAATCTATTCGAATCAAACAAATACACTGCTGTTCGCCATTTCTAAATAAGTAATGGTCACTGGGATTATAATAAATTGAGCAGACATTTTTCATGTGTGTATCTTCATTATTGACGATGAAATACAAGATGCACTGTAATTTGTGACTTGATCAGTGTAATGTTTAACATGAAATGAGATAATAATGGCAGGAATTTGCATGCATAATACAAAACAGTTGTACCGGAAATTTCTAAGTCGTTAATATTATGATAATAATAAATACCTGCTAATGACCATCTATTTTCAGCTTGATTACCTAGTCACGTACAATAACAAACCATTAGGTGTATGACAACACTAGACATGTGATGTAATTACTGGTTAACATAACCCATAGATTGTTTGTTTACAAGTTACTGATTGAGATGTTGGTTTACTAAATGTAGGTACATGCTTCAAGATGACTATGACTGGAAAGTACATTGTTAATCTCGTACCAAACATATTGTTAGGAGTGGCCTGTAGATAATAGCTACAGTATAAAGCGATAATGCATAACGGTTGTTTCGGATATTGAGTATGATTTGATCATTGATTAATTTGCTGGAATTATATTTATGAAAGCACACTGCATTAAGTTGAATTATGTTTTGGTCGGCTTTAATAATATAGAACGTTTATTGGGAAACAAAATTAATGTTTGAAGCGTAGAAGTTTCAAAGCATTCGATAAAATCTAGAGATATTAGACATTTGTTTGTCATATACTAAACATAACTTCACACTCATTTCTTTAAAATTTGATAATTTCTTTAATTATAATTCAATTCCATTTTTTTTCAAGACACAGTCTGGAATCTCATTAATTACTTGTTGAACAAAAAATGCGTCTAATGATGACACTGCTAATACCCAACTGGTTGTTTTACGCTTGAGTGCATTCTCGATTTTGGCCTCAAATAGATAGAAATGCCCTATCTAGACCCCAAACACTTGTTTTCGTTTGAGAAATGGCGTTAAAAGTGATCGATTTTTAGGCGCCATGCCCTATCAAATAGATATATTAAGGGGATGCCAGAGGGGGGTTGTGCCCACTTCTGCTGGGGGGTGGGTTGAAGCGGGTCAGCAGACCACCTCATTTCCAAGAAAATTTTGGAATTGTGAGAGGCTTAAAATGGCCTCCGTTCGACGTTACGGTAACGTGTAACCAACGCTGGAAAGCCTTTGACTCTTTCTCAATCCATTGAAAAGTTGCAGCACTTTTAATCTGTTGATTAAAAAAAAAATCAACGCAAAATAGTGTTTTTGACAATTTTGAGATGTCCCCTGGTTACCATGTTAACAGGAGATTCAAGATTTAGTATGCCTTTCAAAAGGCTATGGTCTAATCATGGTCTAGTCAACATTTGCACCAAGTTTGAACAGTATTGAAGCCTGTTTTATTGTTTCATAGCAATTTGAACTTGTAACAGGAGGCTGTTCAATGAAAACAGACATTTGTTCACAAAATGCGCATGAAGTATTGATTTAAAGTAAAATTTATCAATTCTGATTTATTGACGTAAGCTAATAACGTTGGTAGATTGTTGTAACATACCTAGCAAATAGTATATTAACTGCCCACAGGTAATCTGACTGACCGGGCTTGAATTACACGGTATTTTCGGTAGATCTTGCTCTTCATTTTACTGTACGAAACTTGTGAATAAAATTGCAGGGTGAATATTATATTTATTTACCCTATATTGAATCTAATTTTCCCAAACATTATCTTTAAATTCAAAATGTTTATTTTAAACAATAATGACAAATGCATAAATCATAAACCACGTTTTTTGCAAAGAATATGTTCTTATTAACAAATGAAAGGTTTGTGACAAATTCTAAGATTTGAAATATTAACAATTGCATTTACCTTAACACCGTAGGGCTAAGAATCGAACGCACAAAGAAAAAGGTTTTCAATTGATTTCTGAGTATATACTCGTATCTTTTTAATCTTTTACAAAAACATATTTTGATGACCTTATAACAATGTTCGAAATTAGAGTTCCAAACATTTTTCTCGATGTAAATTAACACAATAATTTAATTACTTATGTCGCAATGAACATATACAAAAGTAAGCAATGTAATGAGTATAAAGATCTGAACATCCGAACAAGTAGTTGGAATTTGGTCATTATAACGTAAATGCCTTGCGACTGCGATTTCCGTACATAATTCATCTATTGAATTTGATTACACACATTCAGATAGTTGCGGTGCTGATTTACTATAAACATGTTATTATTGACACCATGCCAAAGTATAGAGAAATAGAATTCATTAATGACTGTCAAAAAGCAGGTTTGGTTTGATTAGGCCTTTCCGTGGACAGTACTGGAAATTGCAAGCCACTGTCCACGCCACCTTGTACAGGCTTAAAAAAACATGTAGTGGTAAAATAGTGGATTTAGAAACATCAACAAAAGTGTTCATACGGCGGTGATCATGGAACTTTCAATGTGCCACGTTATATATATAGTGTTATTCCATTAAAATTGGCGTACGGTCCCTAAGTAAAAGAACTGTGTGCCCTAAACGAAACAATAATGGGGGGAACTAAACAAGATGCAATTTTAAAAGGGAATCAGAGGCTATGAAGCCTGCATATCACAGATAAGCTGTCAAAATATCAATGTTAAAAGCAAACATTAATTTTAAGGCCACATATCTTATAGGTGATACTACAGTATTCAAGTAAGGAATACCGGAACTAAGTAGGAAAAAGGCCAAACAGAAAGATCTAAAATGCCGCCAACACAACAATAATGTGGTGTTGCACGATCTTTAAGAATCGGAAATATAACATCCGTAATTGAATGCATGTGACGACTTTTACGGCCCCCACACGGTACCAACAATATGTTTGAGATTCAATGCTGTTTTGACATTTCACACACGCATATATTATTATATAATAAAAGAAAAATAACAATACACACTAGTATATCGCTCCATTTCCTTTCCCCTCCTTGTAGATTGTAAGTTTATTTAAAATAAATAAGTCTAGTGTTTGGAGTAAAATACTGTTAAGCTAAATAAAGCTAAATTATTAATGTAATCCAATCATAACAAGTAATTTTTATTTAGCTGATGGCATTTATGACCGTTGTTATTGAGTGGACAATGCAATTGAATTAACGCTTGAAAATAACGTTTACTCTGCACTTATCTGATAAAATCTTGTTTAAAATGATTATTAAATCAGGAAAAAAATATTTTGTTCCGGAACAATTTATTATGTTAACGCGCATTTGTGTTTATTTACAAAAACATTTTAGTTTAGAACTTCAAGAATCGATAATGCAACATAATTCTTATTTTTATGAACAACAAAAAGCAAAAAAACATTTCATCACTTTCAGCTTTATTCCCTTTAAATACATCGTATATAAATGCGACTTTAATTTGCGAGATTTTTTCTTAATTTTATTTTATTCGTTATTTTATACGACTGATTGTTATCATCGCTTATTATATACGTCTACAAAGTAAAATTGCAATATAAAATTCAATTTAAAAGCGCTGTATTTATGTTTTCTTTAAGTCACTAATTATGTTTACTGTGAGCAAAAGGAAGATATCTAAACTTGTATATATTTATTATGCAAATAAATGGAGATCAAATCGCCATGATTGATATTTTTAAACAAACATCATTCATTTTTTATAAAAAAAAAACCGCCTACAAACATCTGTGTAGTTTTTGTGTGCTATTTGATGACTTTAAAAGTTGTTTTGTATATTCTCTAGGACCTCATTTATTGGCGGAAGGATTAAAGATGTACTACCCACCAGCAATCGAGGTGAATTTAAACATTGTTACAACAGAATGAAGATTTCTGGAAAAAAAGTAGCTAGATTGCTAACATATTATATATCGGGCCTCATTTGACTTAGATAATGTTGATGTTCAAAGTTGAAGACTGTATACAATTAATAAAAAATAGTGGAATCCAGAATTAAGCCTCAAATGTGACTGATTTACTATAGAATAAAGAGTACGAAAAATCACTGGGACTAGACCAAGAATCTATCACAATTCCGGATCCCGTGCGTTCGGATTTCGGATCCCGGCATTTTCCTCCACCTTCAAATGTAGAAGTCACGTGACTGCTCACAAAATGGCGAATAAAGAAATTTTGTGTCAACAATTGACACATTTTGATAAATTTCGTCATAATTGTGTTTTCTCAGGAACACTAGCATGTCCGGTGGTCATCAAATTTGTGATGCCTCAGCAAAAGGAAAAAGCTTTTCTGAAGCCACCGTGGACATTTCAGCCAACGAAGGTTTTCCATTATTTTGCTGTCAGCTTGCTGGTATAGGAAAATTGCTTTCTTACCTTGAAGGAAATCTCGAAAAAAGTGCCGAAATTGAAAGATTAGAGAAATTCTTCGCAGATAGTAAGTACATGAAAAACTCTTCACTAAGTAAGTGAAAACAGTTAAATATTCCTTTTATTACGAAATAGGCCCTATATATATGAATTGGCTAGCCGAAAGGGCCTGCTAAGGGCTAGACAAACGTTCTAGCCAGGACACAATGTATTGGCATTGGCTAGCCATATTGCACTTGTTATTTTGCGACTTTAAGCGAGGATTTTAAACAAGTTGGCAAGTAAAGTACAGCAATTGTTTTCATTTGTTTAGTTTATAGAAACAAATTGCGATGTTGGTCGAAAAAATATAAATATGGGGTACCGATGAATATGTTGTAATCTCAAGGTTATGACGAGAAAATAAGAATCTTACACCGGCTGCCGGTTCAGACCGGAATATCTAGCTTGAGGGTAACTGTTTATAGTGGTAACGAGGCTCTGCCAAGTTTCCTCTAAAAAGTTACCCAAGAGCTAAAAATTCCCGTCTATACCAACAGCCGGTGTTTGATACTTTTTCTTGCATATTACATGACGTCATTTAAAGCATGCGACTTTTCTTACATGGGGGGTGTAAGACAGAGTTTTCTAGCACCGGTGTAAACAGTAGATAATCTTGTCTGATATGCAAGGAAAAAAGAGTGTTTACTTGCAGTTGAATAATAATATCAGTTGAAATAATTTACCAAATTAATATGAAAATAGGCGAGTCTATGAAAGGGGAAGTCAGATAAAAAAAAATGTTCATTTTTTAGTTAACATTTTCTGTTTTAAAAGTGTCGTTCAGTATTTTATGCACTGCTTCTGTTTAGGCTGGTTCCCAGCACATTTCATTTTAGCTAGAACCATATTAGAACTGGGAACCAGAGAACGTTTTTAGAAGTGAGCAAGGAACCAGAATACGTTTCCGTTTAAATCAGAATGCCTTGACTATTATTGTAAACTTGTGAGTCAAGTCGATTGGTATACTTTCCGTTTATTATTGCATTATGGTGCCAAACATTAAATGATACTGAAAAAAATCACTCACAATACATTTCAATTTATTTGTTATTTTAATTTCCTTGTCAATATACACATGTAGTCTATATCCTGGCAAGCCTAAAACTTTTAGCTATTGGTACAGACCCATAGGGCTAGCCACTTCCAAATATATACAATTATAACATACAAACATTTTCACAAAGAATAATAATATTATATGAATCTTAACCCGGCTACCAGTACAGACCGGAATATCTGTTGCACCATTATTAGCAATAACTGTTTAAGGCGGTAACGAGGCTCTTCCAAGTTTCCGCTAAAACGTTACCCGAGAGCACGATTTTCCCGTCTGCACCGACACCTGGTATTTGATTTTTTTTCTTGCATATTACATATCAATTATTTTCAGGAGAGAAACTACGAAAACTGATATTCTGACATTACACACCTTTTTCTAATAGTACCATATGAACCTACAACTGCATTCATAACGGTTAAGTGACGTCATCCTAAAAGTGCAATTCATTCATAAAATGCGTGCAGCAATGACATCATTTAAAGCACGCTACTTGTCTTACATAGGGGGTGTAAGACAGTGTTTTCTAGCACCGGTGTAAACGGTAGACAATCCTGTCTGATTGCCTGATGCAAGAAATATTGTATTGCCCCTCGCTATAAAATGGCCTGGGCATTATAGTGTTCTGTCACTCCGTCATCATCAGTTTACAGTTACACAAATTTGACATATGGATATATAACAGGAAAATACAGGCCAAGTTCGAATTTGGTCATGGTCCAATAATTTCAGTTTCTGTTCATCATCTCCCCAACGATAGAACACATTCAACTCAATTCATTGCACCATTATTAGCAATAAATAATGTTAGAAATGTAGCCAAACATTGAACAGTACCACAGAACATAATTATATTGTATTTAATCAACATTATAATACTGAAAATTATTTGCTTTCGTCATTAACTGAAGCCTGTCACACACAGCACACGATTTGGCACACCGTTGACATACGGTATACAATGTACTCGGTTATAAAAGGGTCGACTGGTGCGAGTATTGAGCTCCAACTGTGTCTGGGAATTAGTTGGTATGAGTTAGACTAGAATGTAGCACGAGAATGTTCCATTAAAGCACGGATATAATTGGTCAAGAATTTGCATACAAACACATTTTATTGTTGTACGGTTCCAAGTCGGTCTGATATGGTATGATTAAACACGACTTTAACTTGGTTTACTCGACTTTATACCCGTACTTTACTGTATCTGCCATGTATGATTTGTACTTGAACCGTATTGGTTGTATGGTGATTGTTCCATGATTGTGTGGCATTGGGGTGTTAATCAGGTGATGTATATAGGACTTGGTTGACAGTCAGGAACTATTTATATACGATCTTGACACTGTGAGTTGGGCTTAACCATGGAGTGGACTTCAAATTCAGTTGTATATACTGTCTCACTCGGTCTCTTACGGTCTTGTACAGTCGCTAATAGGATCAAACACAGACATGACATCCATGTCAATTTTTTTTTGAAAGTTTTAAAGATCATACAATGCCAGATTTTTCTCTTATTCAACAAATTTCTTTGTGATTTTGGTGATTTTTATATGAGCAATTTCGTAAATCACCCCCAAGAATGACCTTGGATGGTGCAGTAGCAGTACCAGTACAATTACTTGATTTTGGGCAATTAATGCAGTACATCACCATTACTTGGGCCAAGTTAAATGCAGTATCATTACCATTACTTTTGAGCATAAGATAAATTTTTTTGCTAAGCTAATAATGTACATTTGTAAACATATATTATTAAATTTCTTAATATATGAGACACTTTCAAAGAGGTCTCAGTTAGGCATATAAACATTTTGCTTATCTGCCTTCTATACAAATGACTCAAGATATTCATCTGTTTTTTACCTTTAAATAAAAATACAACCAAACTTATGAAAGGTGTAAACATTCTATTTGATCCTTTTAATCATACTAAATATGTTAACTTAATATATATTTTGTCTCACCAAATTGTAACTATATATTACTATTATCCTAAGAATGTAATATAGCCGTTTTCCATTATGTATTTGTATATGTTTATGTATGTATACTGCTGATGTTTCCCGCTACTGTGGGACTTGTGCATTTTGTAAATAAATTGAATTGAAATTGAGTTTACATAAAATTGTATTTTAAGTTTTTACTTAAAATTATATTTTAAGTCAGTAATAGTGACTGCATTTCATGATAATAAGTATGGCACAATCATGGCAGCTTGACATAATGTAACAATGAAAACTCCACAAAGGTGCTAATGTGCCCAATGGTCAAACAAAGACAAGTGTCAAATAGTAATTTTATCTTGCATAAAGGGTGATGGTTGGTAGGAGGGCTTTTCATAAAGGTGTATAATATGGTCTACCCAACTCATTTCATATAACATATTTTCAGCAATGACAATCATCTCAGAAACTGACACTGTATATATGATATTGACCTTGAGCTATATCATCTATTATAATGAGATTGTAACGGTTTCCTGGGTTAGTGTTCACTCAATTTATTCAGTTTTATAATAATTGATATTTAACTGTAAAATTTGTGAACTCAAACTCATCATTTAATCCCCATTTAACACTGAACAATGGACCTTCATCCGGTGTTTACAGTTTTATGTAAATTAAGGCTAACTTGTTATCCAATCGCTACACTGAGATAATAGATAGTCACTGGTTGACCTGGTTTGCACAAAAGAACACATGCTTATGTTTGTGATACTGTTTGTGAGCAGTTGACCTAGCAATGAATCATAAAGGTGTGGCTAAATGTTAAATGTTCCGTTACGAAAAACCGGAAAGGTCCATGTACATGCCTGAGAGTACAAATTATTAATGCTTCAATTCACACTAATGTTATAAATCAGAAGAGACATATAAAATAGAGGGGACATTGAATTTTCATGATTTTAGATTTTATTTGACTGATTAAGGCCATCACAATTTTATATTGTGTTCTTTGGATCATCCATACCTGATTTATGATGTTGTAAGTTTGGTGAAGTAATGCAAAGTAATGCATAGTAATGCATCTTCATTACCTGAATTTTGCATTCCAGTATCATTACAAGTAATGCAAATTGGCATGCAGTATCATTACATTGCATTACTCTCAAGAAAAGTAATGCATTCCTGCTGCATTACCAGTATGATATTACCTCAAGCCTGCCCTTGCTGCATAAATTTAACATGTAATTTGAGAGCATTCAATTGAAATGGTTCATATGTACACATTAAGTTATCAGTTACTTGTTTCACTAGGATAATGACTTCAGAAACATTAGGCATGGGATGATATGTAACATAAATGCGGTGTTATTGTTAAACAGTGGTAAAGAAAACTCTTTAACTTAGTTAAATTTCTATAACTTTTGTCCCGACAACTGGTACTTCTGTAAATAGTAATGATACTATTCAGTTATTCTTTAAAATAAATGTTTTAGCATCAGAATGATAATGGTATCATTTAAAGAAACCAATTGGGTATAAATGATACAGTTTCTTCTTGCATGACTGTGCAATTTATTTTAATAAGAATAAAAAGAGAAATTGATTTGACTTCAATATATCAGCAAGTCTAATGTTTCATGGATATTATTATATACTTTATTATGTAGATCTAATATTGTTACAAAGAGACAATATTTTTTTTCCACTCTTATGACATTGCTGTGATTTGTTTAATATATTGTTGCCTATTTTGCCCTTACAATAAATTATTAAAAGTAGATATAAATAAGTAATATACTTTGTTCAAACTTTCAGAGTTTATAAGTTAGACTAAAATAATGTCAAAACTGAAATAAAACCGTTTTTGCGAAACAATGTTGTTATGCCCTTATTGCATTAAGCCCTCGTTTTTTAAGCAATTATATAATTGTTTAAAAGTTAAATTTTCTCTTTCCTTTCCAAATTCACAGAAATATAATTATTTATAACTTATATGTTGTATGTTTTGTTGTACAATGTTTTTTCAACATAACAAGTCTTACACTAAGAATTATTGTTTTAATTTCAGAACAGCACACAGAGTGTCTTCTTTCATTGGATAAAAGCAATGAATATAATGAATATAACATTCAAGTTATTCTTGCTGCTCATTTGTTTGGACCATTGGCAGGCAGTTTCGAGATTGGAAGCAAAGGCTTCTCAAAGGATGCAAAACGATGTCCTAAGTGTGGAATTGATATTAGTGAAAATCTAAAGAATACATCACTTGGTGAGTAGCTTGTCATGTACTTATTTGATGCATTGATTGGATGAAGATAATTTATTGTTAAAGTGGATTGTAGAATGATATTTTTGGATATAAGTTTTACCATGCCTATCTGCAGATCTCCTTTATGATCATTACTAAAGTATAAAATGGGATACTGTATCAATCATTTTATATATCAAACTTATGTCCAGACCTCAAATGAGATTTCTGTTGGGCATAGGTTTCTGTTACTAACAATAGAAATTGGAATATATATTTGGGAATTTAAAGATGAATGACTGCCACTAGATATTCCCCACATACTGAGGTGGCATGTGGGTTTATTAATCACCTTCATTGAAAACCCTTTTTTAAATGATAATTGATAATTTGATATATTTTCCTTTAATAAACATTATACAGAGAAAAAACTTTACTGAGGTTTTTATATGCCCGTTTGAAAAACGGGTCGTATTATAGTTTCCCTTCCTGTCAGGCGCCCGACTGGGCAGGCGGCGTCCAATTTTTGTCCGGAGCATATCCCCTACACCTATGGAGGAATTTCAAATGAAACTTCATAAAAATTTTAACTACTATGAGAAGCCCTGCGGACCGCATGAACCAGGCCTCTAGGTCATAGGTCAAGGTCACACTTAGAGGTAATTGAAAAACGCTTGTCCGGAGCAAAACTTCTACATGCATGGAGGGATTTCAATATAACTTGGCACAAATGTTCACTATTGTGAGGCGGCAAAGGTCAAGGTCACATATAGGGGTCAAAGTTCAGATAAGAAATCACTAGAGATGATAATATAACCAGATATTTTCTGGATTATTGCCCAGAGCATATCTCCTATATGCATAATTCTTTAATGCCCATATCTCTGTGACAGGCGTAGTATTGAGACAATGTTGCCCTTGTTACATGCTTGAAAGACCTTTAGGGTTGTATATTGTATGGTATGGTGTTATCTGTCCTTCTGTCTGTGCTTACATTTGGATACCTGCCTATATAGAGCTGTCATCAATAGAAGCCATATTGATGTACCTTTGATAATGGACAAGTACTGTATGTCTGCTGTGTTGGAACCTCAGAAAACATCTAATTTCCTTGTGTTAAAAATGAAATCATTATATAATCAAAATAATCCAATTCCCTTGTTTTAATTGAAAATTTTTTTCTGAAATAAAATTTGATAGATCTAAATGAATTATCATTATAACTGTCTTTTGATCTGACTTCATATTATAACAGATTTATTTATGATAAGACCTTAGTATAACAAACTCAAATTGGCCTTGGCCTATTGATGACCTTTACATGTACCTTGAAGGTTAAATTATTGAATTGTCACTTATATTTTGCTATAATTGACTGTAACTTGGTTATTGATAAATGGATTATCTTTATACTTTGACAAAACAACAAGACCTTCTAAAAGGTTTAAATGACTTTCAGCTTTAAATGACCATGAAGGTGAAATTATTGAATTTTGGTTTACATGTAATTGCCATAAGTTTGTTATTCACGTACAGATTTGATTTGAACTTAATCAAAACAAGATTTGATACCAAACAAACATATTGAATTATTTAGATGTGACCTTGACCTTTATTGATCTTGATTGCCAACGTCAAATTCATGAAACTTTCTTGTTTTTTTTCTGTAACTTGCTATAACTATGTTATTTATAATTATATGGATAAACTTTATCTTAAGACACAACATCTTTTAATTCAGTACCTTCATGTATATCAAACTCAAATTTACCTTAACACATGTTTGACCTTGACGGTTAGATTATTTTATTTTCACTGATTTATCATTATAAAGATATACTATGCTCAAAATTGATATCAAAAAATATTTATAATTGCTACACAGTCTCTTTGTAAATATGAAATATACATGTTTTGACTTCACACAAAGTTAATACGTCATGTTTAAAACTCTACACACTATAGGTCGTCACAATATGAATATATAGTGTACTGGCAGTTTTTTTAAGAAAAGACCAACTTTACTTGTCCTGAAATAGAGAACGGGACTTCCAGTGCAAAGTTTATTCATTTTTTATTCAAATTAGACACATTCATTAAAATTTTCATTGGTTTTAATAAATTTCTTTGATTGAAATATTTTACTCAAAGATGAGCATAGTATATCTTTAAGAAATCACCTTGACCATCAAATGATTGAAGTTTGAATATATATTCTTACCTGTGTCTTTATTTTGGAAAGGATTTATACTTGGACAAAACAATAAGTGTGACTTAAAACAGACCTATTTTAATTTAAAAAAAAAAGGAAAGACTTAATTTTGTGCCCCCAAAGGGGGGTGGGGGTTGCATTTAGATTTACCCTTGTCTGTCCGTCCGTCAATTCTCATTTTGTGTTGCATGTAGCTCAAAAGTATTTTACCTAGAGTCATGAAACTTTACAGGGATGTTGCTCAGCATGTAAAGTTGTGCACCTGGGAATTTGTGTGTGAATTTATACAGTATTTGTAGAGTTATTTCCCTTGACATAGTAAAAATTTGCAATTTTCAACATGTGTCGAACGTAGCTTAAAAAGTATTTGACCTAGAGTCATGAAACTGTACAGGAAGTTTGCTCAGCATATGTTGTTGTGCATCTGGGGTTTCGCTTACGGATTATAGTCTGTTTTGTCAGAGTTATTGCCCTTGACTTAGTAAAACTTGCATTTTTCAACTTGACATTGTGGCGCACATAGCTCAAAATTGGACCTAGGTTTTTGAAACTATACATGAATGTTGATCAGCATGTAAGTTGTGCACCTGTGGTTTCATTTGTGGATTTATTCTTTTTTGTCGGAGATTTTGCCCTTGACTTAGCAAAAGTTTTCAACTTGTGTTGCACATACATGTAGCTCAGAAAATATTTGATTTAGAGTCATGAAACTGTACAGGAATGTTGCTTAGCATGTGGAGTTGTGCACTCGTGGACTTTTTTTGTTCAACTTATTGCCCTTGACTTTGGTAAAAAATTGCAATTTTTAATTTGTGTCATGCGTAGCTCAAAACATATTTAACCCAGGATCATGAAACTTAATAGGAATAATTTGGTCAGCATGTGTAGTTGTTGACCTGGAATTTCAATTGTGGAGTTATCCAGTATTTCTAGAGTTATTGCCCTTCAAAACCTTTCAATTATGTTGTGTTATGTGTTCCTTGATTGCTCGAGTTAGAATCTGAACCAACTGTACAGGAATAATGATCAACTGATGACACAAAGTGGTCAAGGTTAGGTGTAGTGATGGGTAATGATTATGTCCGGTGTCATGCTTCGTCAACATTTAGGTTGTTAACACTCCTAAGCAGTCACAGTTTTGGTTGCATCATCATCACACTTTGTCAGAATGTTTGACTCAATGAAATACATGTCAAGTGTTCATATGGGTCATCTCTGGTTAAAAGTAGGTCACAGGAGCTAAAATTAGAAAAATCTTGTTAACATTTTTAGGGATTTTTTTGGGCTTGTTTTATGGCCCATATTCGGTCATATTCCCAATTAAAAATAGTATATTATTTTCCCAATCCAAAGGTAAAAAAAAAATCCCAATTATAAGGTTAAAATAAAAATATTGAATAAAAAACTTTAACATATTAGGTCTTATTCACTCTCAAAGTGCTTAAATGTTTGAAGATGCCATCCTAGTCAGTGATTGTTTGAATTCATTTAATCACTGCACATTTTCGGTCGTGTATTTTTTCCCAATTTTTAATAAAATATCGCTGAAATTCCCAATTCCATGGGTATGGTGCCAGTTCCCCAAATCCTGAGAAAAACCCTGACTAATTTGTGGCTTACGTTTTGATCCAAATATCATGGAAATTGGTCAGGAAGGTTGTTTTGATGATTTCTAGGTCAAGATTGAATATGGGTCATATCGAGTCAAAAGCTAGGTCACACAGCCCAAATATGTAAAAATAAACATTGTTAACATGCTAGGAGCTACTGTTCCAGTCTAAATATCCTGAAAATCAGTCAGAAAAGTTTTTTTTATGATATATAGGTTAAGTTCAAATATGGGTCACTTTGGGTCTAAAAAACGGTCACACAGCCCAAATAAAGAAAAACCTTGTTAACACAGTCTTGGGGCTATTGTTTCAGTTCAAATTTCCGGGATTATTGGTTCGAATGACCTTCAAGTAGACCGGCCAGACATTTACATGAATTTGTCTCATAAAATACTTTTGACCTCATTAAACTTTGGTTATAACTTTGTTGTTTATGAAAGAAAATCATTTTGACAAGATTTTAACTGGGACCTAATTAATTATGATCTTTACCCATCAATAACCTTGGCCATGGAGGTCAAATTATTGTAATTTCACAGTTTCTTCTATAATTGTCTATAACAATCTGCATGAAAAATCTTTTGAGATTATAGTCCTCCATAAGAAAATTAATAGCAGAAAAAAATGTAGTCCAAAAATTGAATATCATTATATTTAATGTGTACAGTTCTGAGCATTTGTAAATAAAACAAGCAATGAAGGTGAAATTACATAAACCAGTTTCTGGTTTTATCTCTCAATAGCTGACATTGAATCATGTGTCAGTGCATATGGTGCAATCTTAAAGAAACTTATTCTTCAAAAATCTCAATATTGGACTGTACATGACTTTTCTCTAACTTGTCCCTATATGTTCCTCCATCTCACATAAATCTGTCAAGGGGAATAAATCATGAAATAAATGCATAATGGCTGATTGATATTTTTAACATAATTGCTCTATTAGGCACTGAATCTTATGAATCTTAACATAACACAATGATACAGACAAACTAACATTCTAAAGATCAATGAAAGTTCATTCATGTCTTCCCCAATTTGTTATATCAGTGGAATATACTTCAGATTCTGTACTTCCTGTAATTGAAAGATATCGTTCATTATTTAAACATGACTCATAAAGTAAATTTAGGGGACAGTTGGCAACACTTGAATTGTTGTCAAAATGTTTTTTTTACAGGTGAAGTTCTAATGTAGGT